GGTGGTCACAATTACTTACAACTATTCGATATGAAATTTGATAGCTTGAATGTGTCACAAAGTTTTAAAAAAATTTCTATTGAAGTTTGAGCTTGGTCAATAGAATAATTGCAGCCACCTTATTTCACATCCAATGGTCAAGATTAATGTGACCACCTTGTACCAAAGGTAAATGGTCTCATTCTATACTTTCCATATGTGTGTGTATATATATATTGAGATGATATCTCAAATTTCTTAAAATTTTCTGATCTCAGTTTTTTTTTCAAAATATGATTGTTTTCACTCTCAAATAGGCTAAAAAATAGCCATAGGCGCTTAGGTGGGCACCTTGGCTGAGGCGTGACTAGGTGCCACCTCTGACACCTAGGGTCGAGATTGCCTAGGAGGGCCACATCGGCCCAGGCTGCTTGGATTCTGCCCAGCCTTGATACGACTGCCTAGGTGCAAACCGGACCTCTTTTTTACATTAAAGTACAAAAATGAAAAAAAGAAGTTTCTTACTATGATAATTAGTTGCTTCCTGAAATCACTGTACTTTTAAAGTTCGCACCCTCATTTGGTCTCCTTTTCCATGAATGCTCAGTGTGGTCAACATTGGAGCAACTGCACTGGTCACTGAAGCTGCCACAACAATTTTTGGTGAAGCTGGAATTAGTGCTGCAACAGGAGTTATGACTGTAGGTTTTGAATCCATTGATGAATTTTTTTTCTGTGACCCTATATTCTTGTATTGTACGTAGAAGATGCTAAGATTTGGCTCGCATATGTTACTGATACCATGCTGTGCTCTCAATAGTGAAATTGAAGAATTTGCATCTGCCTTGTTGGATATAGATCATCTGGGATATGTAAACATGAAACAGTTCATCGTAATGCACATCATGCTGGATTTATAAAGTGGTGTTTAAATTATTCATATGTGATAACTAAAGGATTACACATTTATCTTTAAAATCCTCTGTTTTCATCAGGTATGGACAGTTTATTTGTTTGAACTTCTATATTTGATGAACTTGATAATATGGCTATGTGAAGTTTATTAATGTCTTTTTTGTTATATATTTCAGTGATGCTAAAAAATGCTGAAGCAGTTATGGTTCAACTTTATAGTCCTTTTGATTAAACTTCAGACTTGTCATCGTACATGCTACAGTTATCATGGTTATAAAAGTCTTATATTCTTGCAGGAAAGTGAGGCACCTTAAATTTGTTCTTCCATGTAGCGACATTCAATGACCCAAATACCTAGATTTTCTCTTTCTGTTTGATGAAATTTGGACATGTTCTTTGGCAAATTATGCCCTCAAGTCTTTTGTCTCTTTTGAGAATTGATCTTTTTTCCTGTACTAAACTACCAAATGATACCAGTAATCTATGGCTGCCCAATGTTTCGATGCAAATGCTGGAGATAGATTTTTGGTTTTTACTCAGGCCATTGCAGTTAGATCTAATAATTAAATTGCATGCACCTATACATAGTTTATTATAACTTAGTTTGAGCTTTTCATGAACCTCATTCCAAGAAATATAAATTAATTGTGTTCTTTTGGGTGGGTAAGCTGGGATTGAAACCCAGAACCAAGTTGCGTCCCTTGTGCCTTTACTATTAAGTCATGAGGGTGAATCTCATAATGTATTTATCTTTGAATTCTCTGAACTATTAGCAGCACCAAACTAGCAAGTGACTAATAATTGCTATGGACTAATTAACTTCAGATTTCTTCACTGATACTTGCTAATTCTAGTGAAAGATAGAGCATTGAGTTATGCCAAAAGATTATATGATCCCATAGGAGCAAATTGTGTCTTCACTCCCTTAGGAACGACCCTGTCAATGAGTATCTTTAGGACGCCAAATTTTGGAAATGGCAACCCCCTTGACCTAGAGACCAACCTCTATTTATTTTATTTTTATTGAAATATGCACTATATAAGTGCCTGAGAAAAATAGTGTCTCAGAGTGAATAGAGACCATCCGATTTTGGAGGACCAGATCTAAGAATTTAGAGATTCAAAAACCAAAATTTTTCTTTAAACTGCTCATCAGGTGAATATAAATTGGATACCTGGAATTTCGTATCAAAACAATGCTCCTAATTAGGCTTTTTACTCGAGGGAGTAACTATAGAGCGTGCCCTGGGAGGAGAGTATGTCCTATGCACTCATCATCATCCTCCAAACCTTATCTTTACTATTTGGGATCGGTTACTCAAATCTTGTTCTGTCATTCTGCTCTATCAAGGGTCATACTTTCAGTCAGTTCATAAATCACTACATCTCTTCCATCTATGTCCTTTTGGGCTTCCCCCTTGTCCCCTATAGCCTTCCACTTGAGCCAAATTACCCCCTCCTAATGGGTGTTGTTCTAGGTTGATGCCATACATGGCCTGACCACTTAGGTCTACTTTTCCTCATCTTATCGCTATTGAAGCTACATGTAAGTTCCTTTGGATGTATTCTTCCAAATCCTATATTTTCTGTCTTGCCACTCGTTCATCTCAACATCCTCATTTCAGCCACACGTATTCTATCGATATGCCATATGCACTATTGGGTTATTTTAATGGTAACAGAATAATTGTGAATTATTAGTATGACATCTAGTCTTGACATCTGGAAATTTGTGCAGATTATATTATTGAAATTCTGGTGTTAATGACCACCAGTTATGCTTGTTCAAGGCGTAGCTTGAAATTCTTGATACTTGATGCATTCGATGAGCCCAACCACCAGAATCTCATCATTGGAACCTTCCTTGAAAGCATTTTCATCTCATGTAGAAAGCTTCTTACTTTTGAACAGTGGATTTAAAATTCTTATGATGAGTGAAAGTTAACTTTCTTCAAAAAACAATTCTTATGATGAGTGAAACCAAGTGGTGTAATTTTCAAACTCTAGAACAGAATTTCTGTTCAGCTCAAAATATTTGTTTACAGTCATCAAACTTGTATGCTGTTATGCAAGAGTAGTCTGACTTTTTGTTTTTGAACTATTGCAGGTTGCCATTTTGCTACTTACAGAAATCACTCCTAAAAGTATAGCTGTTCATAATGCCACTGAAGTTGCGAGATTTGTGGTAAGGTGGAACTTAGCTTCTCATAATCCGAGTGAGATTTATGAATATGTCATACATTTTTTGGTTGAATTTTTATTTTTATTTTTATTTTCCTTTTTCATATAACACAACACTATCCTATACCTTTGAGTAGAGGTTTTGATAAACTACGTTTGACAAACTATTGCATATGACCATTTCAGGTGAGGCCAGTTGCGTGGCTCTCCTGGATCCTTTATCCTGTGGGTAGAGTCGTCACCTTTTTGTCAATGGGGATTCTGAAGATTTTGGGTCTGAAGGGTAGAAGGTATGGATTAATTGCCTGACTATTTTGATCTCTAGTAATCAATTTTCTTTCGAATCATTTTGGTGAAAGTCCGAAATATAAGTTTACATATTTCCAATCTATTCTGTAGCCAGTTGTGTCTCTTTAGTTACTTAGAGCATAGATCAATTTTGAATTCAGTGAGCCATATGTTACTGAAGATGAGCTGAAGTTGATGCTACGAGGTGCAGAGTTAAGTGGGGCAATAGAAGAAGAAGAACAGGTTTGTCATTGCTTCATGTTATGCACCTGATTTTCTCTTTCTTTTTTCTCTGGTTATTTTCTGGTGCCTGCTCTTCATGGTCCTTGATTTATTATATGATCTCTTTATTTGTTGATATGAGAGCTAATTGCATTTTCAGTTCATCTCTTCTATGATAGCAAATCATGATTTGTGCTAAAGTTTAGAGAAACCAATTACTGTGGCCGGTTTGTTTGTTTTCAGCTCATCTTTTCCATGATAATCAAAGTGTGATTTGTGATAAAATTTAAAATTAAACCACTTTGTGCTGGCAGGATTGTCGTACTTGTTTTCATAACATATTTCCTCTGATAACCGGATCATGATTTGTGATAAAATTTTAAGTAAATCACTTCGGTGGCAGGTTTGTCATACTTCTTCTCTGCTGCATTTTACTGAGACTTGTGGAAACATTGGTTCTAAGATTAAATAGTTTATTGGATGGAGTTGTCTTGTTGTAGTGGTCTTCTAGGTCATTAAGGTTCCGAGGTGCACATTAAAGATCCTCCTGACGAATCAATTTTATCCTTTCTCACGGAGACCTGCTAGGGTTGTGCTCATGCTTTAGACACCAACAGTATTTAGGTTTTCTGATTGCTTGAAATGATATTGCACCATTTCCCTATTTTACCTCATGCAAACATTTTGCTGCTGTTGATTTATGGAAGTCACTGGAACTTTAGTCAGCTTCTAATGTTTTATCTGAATGTTTTACGAAGGTTTTAGGGGTTTTTCCTTGGCATCTTGTGCACCTCATTCTCACTGGCCTTGGTTTTCCCCGCATTGTCTTTCTTTTTCTTATTTGTCAATCGTCATATAGGTCTTCCTTGTCTTTGTGACATGCATCTTTGTCTCCCTCCCTTGTCCCTTGTACTAGAGATACTCAAATACGCTCTTGTACTCTTCCACTTCCTTTGTTGCTTTACTTTGACATCTTTCTTCCCTTTCCACTGCTGAAGCAGCCCTCATCTTCCACAGATACTCAAGTTCCCTATACATCTCTTCATCTACCTCTTAGAGCTTATATTCTAGCCATCCTTTTCTATAATGATTCTTTTTGGCACCTTCATACTATGAACTATCTCCACTTTCAACTTACGCACTCTAGATTTGTTGTTGTTGTTATTTGGGCCAGCATGTTTTAGTAAAATCATGTCCTTCAATGCTATGTTGTGAATTCTTGGACCTCTTTTATTAATACTCCCATACTACTTTATTCGTGGACGCAAATGAATTGCTTTCAAGATTGTCTAGATGTGGCTTTGGACAGTTCCCTAGAAACGTTACTCATTGGTATCTTTTATGGGTTTTTCTTCAGGACATGATTGAAAATGTCTTAGAGATAAAAGATACACATGTTCGTGAGGTGATGACTCCCCTTGTTGATGTAGTTGCAATTGATGCTAGTGCTACCCTTATTGATTTTCGGAACTTATGGTTGACCCATCAGTATACGAGGTACCTCACCTGTGTTGCATAAGCATAACTGAGGCTTATTATTCATAAGCAGTTTTGCTAACGGGTTTTTGCATTCTGGACAAACTTTTAGGACGCCTGTTTTTGAGGAACGCGTTGACAATATTGTGGGTATAGCTTATGCAATGGACATGTTGGATGTCGATAAGGTCAGGTTCCACATAGATTATTGAAGCTTGCATGCTTTCTGATGTCATTCCAAGTGTGGCATATTAATGATTTTACTGTAGTTTATACTGTTAGCTGATAATTTTTGCTGGCTGCATTAAAGGTTGAGCTTCTTGACTCTGCAAAGGTTGGAGACATTGCTCACAAGCCTGCCTATTTTGTTCCTGGTAGTTGAGATTCAAAAACCTCTCTATTTTTGTGATATTTTCTTGATATCCATGATTGCAATGTTATGACGTTCAAATCTTTTTGTACCATTAAAAAAACTCTATTTTGCCAGGATAATCCATGATTTCGGATATATATTAAGAGTTTCCTCATTTAGATGGACGCCTGTTTCTACTCATAAAATTGTTGCAAGATGTAACTGTTCGTGATGCGTGCCTTATATGTTTTCAAGCTATAGAGAGGTTTACATTAAATATATTTTATATCAGGTATATTTCAAGATGAGAGATGACTTTGTGTTGGTAATCCAGATTCGATGTCTGTCTGGAATTTGCTGAGAGAGTTCCGCATCAGGAAGGTTCACATGGCTGTTGTTTTAAATGAATACGGTGGAACTATAGGGGTATGTTTCCCTTACGTATTTTTTTCTTTTGATATTGTAGCACTTTGATGTTCTTGGATATTTAATTTTTTTCTTTTATCTATTTAATTTTCCTTTTGATTTTTTAGTAAAAGGATTTTTTTAGGAACAGTGGCAACTATATTTTTCCACCATAATTCTTTTGACAATAATATTGGAGATAGTTATGATGGAAGGGACCAAATTAGCAAAGCATTATTGGAAATAGTCCTGTTGGATGGCCATTTTTGGGATCGAGATCCCTAAATGCTAGGGACCTTGATCCCAACCTTTTAGGATCCTTTGAAGATCCCTTTTCCAGAGCGCCAGAGCGAGATTCTGGAGTGGCATTGCCAGTTAGGTTTGGAGATCCCAGAAACTATGTGCTGGGCAATTTTGTTATTTATATTAATACACTAAATTCAGACTTGATTGATAACTTCATTAAGGCACCATTACCTTTGATATACATGTATGAGCGCGGTGGTTATATTTATTCCATATTGGTTGTGTATGAAACAGATTGTAACACTGGAGGATGTTGTGGAAGAAATTGTTGGGGAAATATTTGATGAAAATGATTCAAAGGTGACAAATGAAATGCTTATGTTTTTCTTCCTACTTTCATAGACCGATTCAAAGGTGACAAATGAAATGCTTATGTTTTTCTTCCTACTTGCATGGTCTATGGAAGTTATTTATTTTTTTGCAGTGCTCTTTTCCTCTAGATTGCCTTGGTTTCTACTCTTGTACATCTATGATTAGACATCTTTGTACGAGCAAATCTGTTACGGATGCTATAGTTGTTTTTAATGGAAACTGTTTTCTTTTTTATGCCTCCTCATGTGTGATACTTCATGATGACTTAACATGGGCATTCATGTTATTTCTAGTTTATATCTACTTCAAGTTAGGATTAATGAGCTATCACACGATTAATAGTGAGAGTGACTCTAATTATAGAAACACCGACATCCAAATTGCAATCTTGAAATCTAGGATCAACATGTGAGCTGAGATATTTATTTTGAATTCTCAACTTTCCAAGAAAAAAAAAAAACATATTTATTACATTTAGGCCTGCTATATTTAGACTTGCAAAAAATTGGATTTGAAAGGATGCTGGCCATTTTATGGATGGATTAGTATCCTGTTGGATTTTTTTTTTAGATCACAACTGGTACATCTTGATTTCCTATGAATTTGCGCTTCCCTTGATAGTTTAGATTTTAATTAATCTTTCCTAAAGTAACACGATAATTTAGTCTCACTTGCATTACTGATGTGCATGAAACAAAAGCAGTGATGAGATTGAAGTCAAGACAGGCCATCGTAGAAGAACTCCGCATGATTCTCTCAATAATGTTCATGGAAATTTGAATGGATGCAATGATAGCCTAACTTCAAATAGTATGATGTATGGTGATCTGATTTGTGCAAAACATAGGTCAAGAGAATAATGACTGTCATTACTTAATAGAGTCACATTTAATCTAATCTATGCCATTTTGAAAGATGTTCATAACGTCATATACATTTTATGCATAAGCAAGATGTAATGTGACAGCAAGTGTCTAATCTACCAGTAGTATTCTCATTGTTGGAGAGAATGACCAGGAGTTCTTATTTTTTTACGCTCATGTCACTGAATGCAATTATGTTTGCTATGGGAGCGCGTCTCAGGTCTTCCATGAGCCCCTAGATGTCCACTAAAAAGTTGCATTTCTTTCTGATTTACGGTTACCCATGTGGTTTACGAAAATGATTCATACATTTTAGAGTTTAGCTGGAATTATTATGTTCTTATAATATCTTCTGCCTTCTTGATTTTTCCATTAGCTATCGAAGAATTTAGGAACATTAAACAACCCATAGGATTTCAAAAATCCTTTTCATAGTTCCCTCAGAGAAGAAGCACAATATTTCTACTTTCCTTAGCACGCTTTTGCTTCACATTTTACCCTTAAATATAATGTTGCTTGTGCTTTGGAATGTTTCATTATCACGCTTTTGTTCTTCACTGCTTTTGCCCGTAAGTAGGACTGTATGTGCTTTGGAATGTTTTGAGAACTTTGATTCTACTTACCCTTTTCTCCTGTCTATCCATCTAGTACTATTCAAACTTCGAAGCTACGTTTCTTTCAGTTGATGGATTTGATATCCTCCTTTCCACTGGGTGAAATCCCTTAAAACTTCTCTCTTGTGGGTCTGTGTGTCTGCACATGCATGCTATGCCTGAAAGCACATTAAGGTTAAAGCATGCGCACAACTAGTCATATCTTTGACAATTTATTGAAGCTTCCATATGATCTTTTGATTTTTCCATAAAATGTGTTATGCATTCATATGTATGTGTCATGTCTTATAAGAATAGTCTGTTTTATTTGCATGTTTCTCATCTTTGAAATAATGTATGTTGTTTCTTACTTATCAAGATAATGAAATGATGGTCTTCCCTGTAAATAAAATTACGATATCCAAAATTTTCTGTCATGATTAAGCATATGCTTACTATGTTTTGGTCTGTAACAGGAAGAGATACAAAGGAAAACTGGCTACATTGTGATGCGAGCAGATGGTGTATATGATGTTGATGCAAATACATCCATTGACCAGCTATCAGAAGAGCTAACAATCAAACTTCCTGAGGTTGGAACTTATAGAGAACTATTAATCACGATGAGATGTTTTCTTTACTTTAAGATAATGCACGCGGCACACAAGGATTATGGAGTGATCATTGATCAGGATGTTTTTAAAATGCCAATCCTAAGTTAGAATGTTTGTGGTGTTGCCATTAATGAAATAATGTTTGTGATATTCAGTCTATAGTAAACTTTATAGATCAGCACACACTTGATGTCATGAAAAAATATTGATGAGTTTTTTGTGGCTTTTCCAAAATCAGTTTCACATTGCATTGCCCCAGACAATTAGGAATATTTTCTGTTTTTCAAGATTATGCCCAAGGATCATTCTGGTAAATGGCCTCTTTATATTTCCTTTGTATATTCTTTATGGCATTCAGTTCCAAATAAACTTGAGGGCTGATGTGATGAAAACACATTCATGAATTGTATGTTGTCCAAACTGAGTTTTTGTTCGCCATTGCTTTAGGCTGTTTTTGGTCATATGTGTAGCTATTGTGTCATTTCATCTGTCATCTATTTTTGGTCATTTCCAGTTGGATGGCTACCCTGCATGGATTTGAGCTGGAGTTCATGGTGAGGGACTTTTATTGTCAATATTATTGAGATAATTCATTTGGGGAGTGATTAGATTGGGGTTTCAAGTCCATGGGCTGGTTTAAGATAGTTTTCAAAATGCCTTTTTTGCACCTTGTATACTTTGGGGTCCACTCTTCAGGTTTTAGTTGGCCGGGTCTGTCTGTTCTATTCTTTGGGCTTTCAGCTTCCTGGTTTGCATGGGTGTCCTTGAGTGGTTTTTTGGTTTTAATCGAGTTTGCTCTATCACTGCTTGGCCATTTCAGTTGTGATTGATGTTAAGAGAAAGTCTCATACTTTATTTGTCTGCATATGTCCATGTTTGCCTTTTTATCCTCAAGGGGCTTCAATGCATCAAATCATACTAATGCCAATGAGGTTTCTGAGAAACAGGCCTTTCTTCTTATAATTGATGCATTTTAACGACATTCAATTGTTTTCTCAAATTTAGGGTTTTGGGACAATTTGCGGCGCTTTTTACAAAAGTATGTTAAAAATATGGAAAGGATGGAATGTGTTGTAGGAGTGTTCCCCCACCAGTATATGTCAAAAAATAGTAGAAGTCATGTTTAGTGGTCCATTCAAATTGGACCTAGTTGCATGACCAAGGAAACTGGTTAATTAGAAACTAAGCATCTTATTAATGGAAAACATTTACTTATTGTTTTTGGGACAGTAGGAGTTAGGAACATTTGGAACTTAGATTCATAATTTTTAATGATACTTATCATTTTTTTTATTTTTTATTTATGATGAAATGTACGCTAGTTTATTAGCTATAGACATTCAGTGGTCACACTGTACTTCACTCACTTCCTTTTGGAAATATACATCCTTATCACCTTTTGTTTTTGGTCACTAGGGACATCAATATGAGACAGTTTCTGGTTTTATTTGTGAGGCATTTGGATGTATTCCTAGGACCGGTGAGACTATCAAATTGATACTTGAGAAAGCAGACACAAAAGAGAACAACGAGTATCCAGATCAGGAAAATGATCGCCAAGGGCACCAAGAGAAGAATCAGACTTTTAAGCTTGAGGTATGTCTTATGATAAAGAACTTTTGGATTTAATATCAATTTTAGTGATTCTTATGACTTGTTATTTCATGTTGGCACTTAAGCTAATGAACCTGTAAAACTCGGAGTTAGCCTATGTTTTGCATTTGGAAAGTAAACATATCTATACTTGAAATATGATGGCTCCATTGATTATCTTACCTATGATTCACAAGCAACACTTACTGATGCCTAGAATTGGCGATGCTCTTTGGTAGGGCACCTTCTGGAATCTTTAAGGGTCTTGGAAGTTGTTTCTTATTAGGGTCAGAATAGGAAATTTTTAGTTTTTTAAAATCTTATTAGGTTAAGAAATTTGTATTTTATTGTAGTAGACTTAAGCATGAATATGTGGGAAACCTGTGTGTGTTTGTATATCTGTATGTATTAGATACTGGTTTGTATTTGATGCAGCACGGAATATTGCTCTCAAGTATCTCGACAAGCAGTGTTCAAAAAAGCGGACCACCTAGTGCCTAGGCGGTCCAGAAGGCCTGGGCGTATCACCCAAGCCTAGGCTACCAAACTGGGCGGTAGTCCCTGGGCGGCTGCCTAGGGCCTGCGCCCTGCCTACGGGGGGAATTTTTTATTTATTTTTCGTTGTATTGATTTTTTTGAAATATAAAGGGTTTGAAGGATCTGTTTATGTTCATTTCAAACCTAAACCCACAAGAACCCATTATAGAGAGAAACAAACCTCAAGAAAACTAAATTTTGTGACTTTCATTGGATGGAAGTGTTTCTCAAAGTTACAGAAAATAGATCCAAACATCACCCAAGTAGATTTGATATAGTTTTGGAGTTTTATAATCCTATTAGAGGGTGTTTTTTATTATTTTAGCACCAAAAAACATCTGAGAGGTGAGAGTTTGGAGTTCAGGCAATCAAAGTAAATGCAAAAATTTATTTTTTAGAATGCTTGTTTTATTTTGAGATGTCTTCTTCAGGATCTAGTCGAAGTGGAGATCTGGGTTGGAAATATGGATATAACCCGAATCCAAATGACAAAAATTGCATTAGATGCAATTTTGTAAAAAAGATACGAAAGGGGCATAAACCAGTTTAAGAAACATCTTGGCGGTATTAAGGGGGATGTTGCCCCTTGTAAAAATATTCTTGAAGCTATCAGAGAAGAGATTAAGCAATATATGAGTTCTGTAAAACAAAAACAAGAACAAAATCATTGTCATTTGAATAAGTCTATTTCTGCTGCTTCTAGAAGAAGTGATCCAAGTTGGAAGTATGGTTATAACCCAAAACCAAACGATAAAAAATATATAAGATATAATTTTTGTGAAAAGATACCAATAGGGGTATTAACCAATTCAAGAAACATCTTGCCGGTATTAAAGCGAATGTTGCTTCTTGTAAAAAGGTTCCTGAAGCTATTCGCGATGAGATTAGACAACTTCTATATTTAAAAGAACTAGAAAATGATGAAAATGATCATTGTTCTGTAGAAATATCTTTTCAAGGTTCTTCTAGAAGTGGTGATCTGGGTTGGAAGTATGGTTGTAACCCGAACCCAAATGACAAAAATCCTATTAAATGTAATTATTGTGAAAATGATACTAATGGGGCATTTATCGGTTTAAAAAAACACCTTACCGGTATTAAGTGGGATGTTGCCCTGTGTAAAAATGTTCTTGAGACTACCAGGGAGGAAATTATACAATATTTGAGTTCAGGGAAGCACAAAAGGATAGAAAAGTGTAGAGCAGCCAAGACTCTTAGGGCCTCATCTGCACATACTAGTAAGAGGGAGGTAGAAGAGGAGGAGGAAGAGGCAAATTCAGAAGAAACAGAGGAGGACGAGCGTTATATTGAAGAGGGAGATGATTCTGATGATGATGGCCTCGATTCTGATGCATATGATGAAGCTTATCATATTCCTTCTGATGATGATGATGACTGAAGAATGAAGACTCTTGGTGTTGAGTGTTGATTGTTGTGTTGACTGTTGAGTGTTGCCTATTGTGTCCTAGACTGTATATTTTCTGAATTTATGTATATTTTCTGAATTTATGTATATTTTCTTTTTCTTATTTTTAGTTTCTATTTCTACTTCCCAGTTTCTAGTTCTACTAGCTACAATGTATCAGACTATTAGTGTATGCTTGTATGGTTTTACTGTTTTAGCATTGCATGAAAATATGGATTATGGTCTTATGGATTATCAAAATTTTCTTCTCAACTTCTGTCTTTTTTTTTTTTTAAAACTGGGATCATGGCCATACCCTCAGTCGTACCATGAGTCCCTCTATCAAGGGTCAGAACCTGGGCCACCCAGGTTCTGGGCGCCCGCCTAGGCGCTGGGCGGTCTGGACCCCCATGGCCGACTGCGTGCCGCCTAACGCTTTTTGAAACATTGTCGACAAGAGAGATAAGCTTAAAGTTTACAGGTGGAACCACATAAGGGCAAATTAGTCATTAAGTCTATCCTTTTCTGTCTTTTATTTATTTCTTATGTCTTTTTATTCACTTAGGGGCATAAGTAGAAATTTATAGAGCCTTTTATGTCTTTTTACTCGCTTAAAGTTTTTTAGAATAAAGAGTCGTAATATATTTGATGGATGGCCAAGATTAAGTCTTATTTAGGGTTTTATTATATAAGGGATGTACTCAAGCATAATGGATGATGTCGTGGACTTTTATTCAAAACCCTAGAGCAGCAAATGCTCCTTTTGTTACATCTAGTTTTTGAATCTCTCTATTTCTGGATCTTCCCTATCTCCTACTTCACTAAGCCCAAGCTCAAGCTACTAGGTCTGCACCTGGTTGGTATCAGAGCCTGACTATAAGTAAGGACGGTACTATGGCAACGTACTATAGCATGGTAGCAAGTTATTGTAGCATGATACTCTAGCATCGATTTTGTGCCATAGATCAACAGTCATACCTCCATGTAGAGGAAAAGGAGGAACTATAAAAGCCTCTAATGCTAGTTCGTAAGAAGGGATTGTTGATCTGAGGAGATTGGTCGAAACCTTAGCTCTGCATTTGGCACAAATGGAAGCCCTACCTCAAGAGTATGAGATAGAGGTAGACGAGGAATCCATAAATCCTTTCCATGATCAAGCTCCAAGGAGAGATGTAGCTAATCATATGGATAGTGATAGCAAGAGATGGGAAACCGGTCTCAAGGTTGAGATCGCGAAGTTTTATGATGAGGATAGCAAGCATTTTGCGATCCTGTTTTGATGATTACAGTTAGGAAGAGGACCTAGAAGTCACCTATAGTGATCATGGGGACTTACTACCAATCTTTAATCTGTACCTTGATGAGGATTCGAGTATGGTAGAAGAATCTATTTATGATGAAGAAGTTGGTGACTCTACCTTTGTTGAAAAGAAAGAAGCTGGTCCTATTTTCAATGAAGAACATGCTATTGGCCAGGAAGATAATGTTGGTGACGGTGTTTCTGATGGTGAAGATGGGGGTGATTACACTGGGCTATTGCTTTGTTTTGAGTGGAGAACCCCAACAAAATCTCACTAAATCCTAATGGAAAGAGCTCGTGGCTGCAATGCATTCATCTTAACCCATTTTAAAGTTTGTAAACGAGCTACCTCAGGTATGTTCATGGACAAGAATACAATGCATATGTGCTACAAATATTACAACTTTTCTTGTGGACAAAACATGAACGTGATGGATAAAGTTTCCATGAGAGATGCAGTAATTTGGAACACATTTCTCTCTTGTTTTATTGAATTGGGTCTCGTCAAAATTGGGAAAAATAGTATATTCCTCATTGATGATAGACATGAGAATCTAGCCGCTATTGTTGATGGCAGTTAAGTATTGTTCATATTGTTGAGATGCAAATCAGTCTGCTTATAGCTCCTATCACACATGGCCTTGTACATCAGGATTAGAACCAGTGGAAATGTATGGACAAGATGAGTTATCTCTTGAATGGTATCGTGCACTAGAATGGGCTTCCCTTATTTGGACAAAGAACTATGTGCTTGATAGAGGTAAGGCAAAGCAGTAAATTATGTACCATGGCAGAATGAAGCTTCTTGTTGGAAACCATACTTTCCCTTACCAATTTCTCATGTTGTATTTGCCAAGATTGACATGAAGGGGTTTCATGATCAAGCATTGCCAAATGTTTTATTGAGGGGCTTCCCTAATTTGTTACTCTCTATCAACAACATATATATTAGGGACAAATACTAAATTAAAGTGCCTAATATTAAGAAGTCACTTTTTCATGTTAGACTTCGTATTATTATAAATTGTATTTTTTAAAAATAAAATATATTTATTGTCTGCATCGAAAATGAGTCTCCTGCATCAAGTTGCATAGCTCATCGGACCCTCTTTATCTAATAACCTTTCTTTACTAGTCCTTGGCATTTGTGTGTGTATAGATTATGGTGAACTTAGAATTTCCTACTCCAAAATTTTTGACAGCAAAATTCTCTTACAAATATAAAAATGCGATTTAACAATAGCTTCTTTGAAAATTTTGAGAAGAGCATATTTGTAATATTAAATTGCTTAGATCCACTCATCATTCATTCCAAAATTGAGTTTTGGAGGAATTTTAAAAAGACAAAAGTATCCTTCCTAAACATGCATGAGCTCTTCATAATTAAAGGTCATTTTTTTAACACATAAGAGCATTTTATGGTCAAATATTTTGGAGCAGTAAATTCTAAGTTTACCATTAGTGTGGTGTATTCTAGAGTAACCCTATATACATATGTATGTATATATGGTTGATTATCTTGTATATCATACAAATACATGTAGACTTTTTGTATAAATTTATTGGGACATATACACGTTTACAATATTTAACATTTATGACAATGTATGTTTATATTTTTGTTATTTTAAATTTTTTGTCTAATACAGGTTGTTTACACAATTTTTTACTTTTTCTTTTAGAAATATTTATTAGAATATTTGTTTATACACACCTCTTCATCTACTAGTTTATCTATATATGCTACACATCTAGATGGAGGTCTGCACATGCTACACATCTAGATGGCGCTCTAAAATTGGCTTGCTGGGGCCCATAAATGCAGGCTTATATATCATGAGAGCAACCCAGAAAAGCTAACGACTAGAAATTGGGACTTAGCAACAGTAGAGTGTGGGGCCTGTATCAATATTTCACTTAGGGTGCAGTATAAAGCAATATATTAGCATGCCAAACACTATGTAAGGCTTGATATCTGAAAGAGCATCATAGGGCTCCATCCTTTAGAAATAGGTGCCAACCTGCCCTGACAAGTGCATCAAATGACCAGCAGACTTATCGGATCCAGTTGTTGGGGCCTGGGCTGCTGGCTGAGGTTGCCATGGATGGTACTGATTCCTTTTTTTTGGGGGGATGAGTAACTACTGTATTGAGTTCATTAAGAATTTTTACAAGTTGCTATAAGGTACATAAAAACCGAAGGCATGGAAGTGTAATACAGTGATTTATGAAAATTGCGGCTGAGCCTGCACGAAAAATATGCTGATTAGGGAAAGGGGGAATTGGGTGTTGGGTCACTAGGAGAGAAGTTAGTGTCGCAATTTCCCTTTCCAAGGCATCGGAAGTGGAGTTTCCTTCACACCAATCTTTCCTGAAATTTTGACCATGATATCACGACATAGGTGGAAGAATTGTTCGAAAATGATTTCAAACCTCCATGGGGATGCAGTGGGTCACCCCATTTCCTGTGGAGCCAGAGAAGTTAAGGAACGAGGAGGGTCTCTCCTGCATGATTTGTAGAGAAGCATCCTACATTGGCCAGACCAGGGCTCTAAGGAACTGCCTCCAAAATTGAGTTTGATAGCAGCTGGTACAGGGAGCAGCTACAGGGAGGACCTAGAGATGGTAAAACGGGACAGGCGGTAGGATGATATGGTGCCGATGGTTGGGAGTTCAATGTTTAGCACCATGCAAACTCTGTGCTTGGGAAGGTCAAAAGACTGGTAGATCTGATTTCTTTGATGTGGGTTGTGCAGTGAAAACTGTACTGATTCTCAAACTTCAGGTTTAATGAAACCAAAGAAGCTAATTTTGTGTAGTGTTTTAGAGTTCGTGTCCAAAATCTTTGGTCTTGTGTCAAACATAAAAAGAAATAATTATATGCATGCCTTGTAGATATTTGGTTGGGAAAGTTAACCGGTGCATTACATTGGCCAAAGGTGTAACATGTGATGTTTATTGTGTCTTGAATTGGATTATATAATTCTCATGCATGTGTAAATATTCACTTCTTTTTTTTATAGATGTGAATCTTGACAGTTAAAATGTTTTGAGAACAATGGAATGTCTATATTTTTCCATTTTCTTTGGGTGTTACAGAAGGTCCATTTTTTTTTATGAGACCTTAAAAAGAATGCCCAATTTATAACACT